CCAGAGTATTTTTTAACACAAGTATCTGTACTTTTACTCAAGTACGGAAAGTGAGTACTTTTGCCATCTCTGGTTGCTAGGGTAGTTGATATATTTGCTTTTGAAATTTAATGTTAGACTTTATGGTTAACAAGGTCTAAATTTGACAGAGCAGTTAATATTGAGTATCTGGGAAGCATGATGATGCATTGGAGAAAAAAAAAAAAGCTAGCTTTTTTATTTTCATTAGCCAAACTTCTTAAGTGAGTTTCACAATGAGCAGGCGTACTTTACTGTTATACTCAATGTTTAAATAACAGGAATAAAATTAAGTAGGAGAATAATCATATAATATTGAGTTTGTAAATCAATATTATGACGCAATGCATGTTATAACCATGTTATCTGACACACAAGGGTGTAGAGGTTAAATAGTTTACTTATACTTAATCATTACTGATTAAAGATTGTTTGACAGATCATGCACCTATAGGGCTATTATCAGTAATGAAAAATTGATTGTGAAGATGAGTAATTATGTCATGCTCTTCAGTTAAACCATACTGACTTTAATTAATTACTTTAACATGGTACATACACAATATTTCCAAGGTAACAAGATTGCATTTTCTGTCCTGCAAAATAAAAAATCATGTTGATAAAGAATTTTATCACCATGACCCTCAACTCCTTAGATGATCTTGAGATTTATTTATTGTTTATTTCAAGTTGTGAGACAGATTCTAAGGAATTTGATGATTCTACAACAGTAAGGCCCATTTTGGCTACTAAACATGGCAGTTGTATTTACTTTACAAGACAAAGTTAAAAATAACTGCCTTTGTCCGTCTGTACAGAAATAATAGCAGAAAGTGTAGTAATCTAAACAAGGCAATTAGGGATGTCCTTAACCCATCTTTGAAATTGGTTTAAAATCAGCCAAAACACAAAAATAGGAATATATTGGCCTACATCTAAAATCTCCAATATAAGCATGCTGATAGAAACACCCTGCTTCTGTTTAAAGTTTATGTACCCCATTAATAAATGGGCTGGAAGTTTGTTGTTGACCATTGTTGTCTGCTTGAGTCACTTCACATGATCGGGTCTTTTAAAACATTCCTTTCAATTAAATGAGTAATAAGAGCATATATAAATCATTCATATTTATATAATGAATTTATTATCTCAGGATCAGTATCAACAAATACTAAGACAGTATCGAAATTTACTAGTTGTACTATGACATCCCTAAAACTAAAAAATATAATATCATAATGAGGTTAAACTCCTTTTAATTACCTGTATTCGTTCCCCAGTTGACTGCTAGAAAAATAAAAGGCTGAACAATGGTGGTTTGTCTATAAAAAATAAAAATATGTATACATTTTAAAACATCCATCCATCCATCCATCCATCCATCCATCCATCCATCCATCCATCCATCCATCC